CTTTATGTTATGAGACAACATCATGAATGTGGGTTAAGTTGATCTACCCTGAAAAACTCAGGGTGGCTTTATAAAACCACCCAGAGAAGAAAAACACACGAATGAAAGCTGAAGAGAATCCAGTCATCTGCATGTTCCTTCTACATCAAATGTTGAGTAGATACAACTATCAGCGAGCAAACGGGATTTCCCCCGGCGCCCTGTGTGGAGGGGTGTGTCGGCCGAAAACACAAGAGGGGGGATCCGTGGCCTCAGCCCCAGGCCTCCGGACTGGCTGGCCCCTTGCAGAGACATGCGCCCCAGCGAAGCCGCACATCCACTGTCAAGATGCTCCTCCCACTAAGACTGGCCAGGCGAGGGAGGCTCACAATAAGCTCACTCTTTCCTCTGATAAACAATCTGTTTTTGTGCTTTTGATTAAAATTTAATAAAAAGTATTTCAGCAGAGCGAAGACTTGTTAAAAGCAGGTGAGGAAAGATGAACATTTACTCCGTGCAAGACTAATCCCCTTCTCTCTCCCTTCTCAGGTTCCCTATTCATGGGACAAGCAGGAGTCCTAGGAAATGCGGCCTCGCCCTGGCAGGGGGATCCTTTTCACTCCACATCCAAGCCCTGAAGGAATCTAAAACCCGATCTGGGAACCCCTGTCTCCACCGCTCACCTACTGAAACCAGAGTCCTTTTATAGCAGCTGCAAAGATACAAAACTCCACCGGGGTTGGGGGGGAGGGGAGCAGACGGTTGTTCAGCATCTTCTGTGCAGAAACCGACCCTGTGGGATTCAAGGAAGCATAACTCAAGGACGACGAGCCTGAGCCAAAGTAAACGGAGGAGTCTGACCGGGGAAATCCCAGCGTGAGTGAGGGGTTGAGGCCACGCAGGCGGCTTGGGCCCCGGGAGCTCACGGTGCCGCTCTTTACTGTGAGGACAGGGTGCTGGGTAAGCATCCCACAGCCTGCCCAGTGCACACCCGCTACCGACCGCCCTGAAGACGCGACCGAGTCTGGGTCGTGTGAAGGGTGGTTTGTAACTGTGAACACCACACTGAGAAAAGAGCCTTTCCCAAAGAAAGGCTTAAGTCCAACTCATTTATGGTCCTGCTACTAAAAACAAAGTGTATTAAGTAGCACATATAGCATGTATGTTAGCATTTGTCTACTTCATATATAAGTGTTTCGTGGGTGCGTTGGTGCACTTATAGTAAAGAAAGGAGGGGCAGATGTAGTGTGGGGATATGAAAATGAAGAATAAATACTCCAGAAAAGGAGAGAAGAAGGGAGGAGAGGAGGGGAGGGGAGAGGAGGGGAGGGGAGGGGAGAGGAGGGGAGGGGAGGGGAGAGGAGGGGAGAAGAGGGGAAGGAACTGGAGGGGAGCAGTCATAGACGCTCTTGTAATTAACTCAATACTCAACCTTCCTGAAGAGAAAGAGAGAAAGAGAAGAAGGAAGGAAAGAAGGAAGGAAGGAAGGAAGGAAGGAAGGAAGGAAGGAAGGAAGGAAGGAAGGAAGGAAGGAAGGAAGGAAGAAAAAGGTCATTTGAATTATAGTGGCTGCGGTTATGGTAATGGGGTTTTTGAGTGTGTCTCATAAAAATCCAGGGGCACCTGGGTGGCTCAGTCGGTTAAGCATCTGACTTCGGCTCAGGTCCTGATCTCACCGTTCATGGGTTCAAGCCTACATTGGGCTCTGTGCTGAAGGCTAGCTCAGAGCCTGGAGCCTGTTTCGGATTCTGTGTCTCCCTCTCTCTCTCTGACCTTCCCCTGCTCTCTCTCTCTCTCTCTCTCAGAAATAAATAAAACAAACTGAGGGCTGATGGGGGTGGAGGGAGGGGAAGGGAGGTGATGGGCATGGAGGAGGGCACTTGTAGGGATGAGCACTCTGTGTTATATGGAAACCAACTTGACAATAAACTATTTAAAAATAAATAAACATTAAAAAAAGAAATAAATAAAACATTAAACACATTTTTTAAAAATCCAGCCAAGTAGCAGATCTTGGATACCGACTGCATACGTGCTAACCCTCCCTAAATTAATTCTGTTCTGTGGGTGTGAGCGCCACTGTGCTCCAGAGTTGGGTGTGCAACCTCTCAGGTCAGATCTAAGCTCTGGTGCATCTGGCCACACACATAAGCATGACTTCATTCTCTGCCTTGGACACCTGGCTGTAGGAAGTCATGCTTCTCTGGGGGGTGTTCATCTGGCCTGGGTGAGAGCTGTCCAGCCATTAACTCCTCTCTGACCCCCTGCCTTCGCTGAGTCATGCCCCCTTCTTCCTGGTGTCGGGGTAGCCTCGTGCTGTTTGCGCTGACAGCCAGCATCTCTATATGTTGATAAGGACCACTCAGCATCGTGGACAACCCTGCCCAGTCCCCAGCCTCCCGAGCCTCTTTGTGATCTTCTAAGAGATGCAGATGTGGGAACGTCCAGAATCCGGCCAGCCTGCCTTCAGGGTGTGCAGAAAATGGAATCTTCTGGCCACTGCTCCCTGGGCCTCCTTTATTCCCGCTCTGTGGCGCCGTGCTTGCTGTGGACATTCTGAAACGCTCTTGCAGTCTCCCTGGCTGCATTCCTACCATAAGGCACAGGCTCTGATTTCCTTTGGACCTGCTCCTGTTCCTGGTTTTTTGATTATTTCTGGCTTTTGTAACTGGACAGTCAGAGGCAACAGCCAGAGACTACTTTTCAGCTCTCAGCTCCCTCTCTGAGCCCCAATCTTTGAGCAGACCAGGCATTTTCTCCTCTCTGGAGACACATACTGTACCCTTTCCCACTCTGTACATCATCAAATTTCAGGCTCCTTGGGATTTGATCTGAGTTCCTGAAACCAACGGCTCAAAATCTCAACTTCTAAGAGGCTTGACTATAAAAATCCATTCCAAAGGTCAGTTGATATCTTTATTCCAGGTTTTTATTAAAGCATGGGGTGCCTTCAACTCACTGGGAGGAGGAGAGAAGGCTCAGGAAACGTGTGGTAAAGGAAACCCCTTTAAAAATGCACATGCTGCTCCACCATCCAAGGGCAGCTCTGTCTTGCGATCCAAGAATTCTAGCTTCAATCCACCCACTTAGTGAGACCGCTCTCCCAGTCTCCTTATTCATTTCCATCCCCATTCCTTCTGGTCACTTCTGTCCCAGAGCACGGGATAAGCAGAGTCACCAACAGGATTCTAAGCTATTGACAACTTACTGCCCCAAGACTAGAGAAAATGAAAATACGGAAACCTCTCTCTCTCTTTCTCCCTCCCTGTCTCTGTTGTCTCTCTGTCTCTTTGAATCTCTCTTTCTCTCCCCCCATTATATTGCCTATTGTAGAAACAAAGTTGCAGAAATCAGTTTGGTGCTGAGATTTTGAGCGCAAACTCAAAGTTTTGAGATTTTGAAACATTATATGTGTGTACAGAGAGAAGGAAAACTATTATCATGGGGAAAAGAAGGTAATATCAGAAGACCGGTTCCATATTGTGCCTGTGGTGGTTATGCATTGTCAAAGTCACAGCCATATGCCAAAAGGATGCATTTTAGTTTTGTAAATAAAACATGAAAAACAAAGAAAAACATGAGGGATTGAGGCAGAACAGGAGAGAGGAAATGGGAGGAAAACATCATTTATGAATTCAGATGGACCTCCATGGATATGGTGAACTTCTGGGCTAGATCCCAAGCTCTGAGTTCAGAGGAACACCCAAACCTTAACAAAGTTGGACAGAACTTATTTTTAAAGACCTTGAGGAAAGGAGATTCCATCCCTTTCCATAGCAACCCATTCCAGCCGCAGGAAGTTCTTTGTATCTCAAATTATTACCTTATGATGCAGTTTAAATTCATTTCCGCTCATGTCTCCCTTTTGCCCAAGGAAGACAGAGCAGCTGGTCACCATCCTCAGAGGAACGTTCTCTCCTGTTCCTGAACGTCATTCCCAGGTTGGCTGTCAACCATCTCATCATTAAACTAAATATGTATAGTTCCCATAACCTTCTAGAATTCTTGCCAACTCATTAATCATTGCTCATGTTTGGGTGCATAACACTGAGCACGGGGCTTTAGTAAAGGCCTGGGTCCAATCACAAAGGGAGGGTGTTGCGCTTACATGATTGTATCTGCCTTTCTACGCAAGCTGATTCCAGAGCTGGTTCCAGCACAGTGATGCCACGTGGCTGACACACTCACAGTTGAATTGCTCTAACACCTTGGTCCTCCAGATCACACACTGTGATGGGTTGTTGGCATTGACAGAGCAACTCTGCAGTCTTGGGACTCATGTGCTCCCTTGTAGGTGACATGGGATGTGGCGGTCAGATGATAAGATCACCATGATAGTAAATGAGAGCACATGGGAAGCTCCTAACTTGAATTCTGCGCTCTCGCACATTTGGAGGGGTTAGTGTGTAAACAGCTGTATCAGCGAGGCATCTACTGTTGGAGTTGAGGGTGAGGGAGGGAGCAAGGACATTCCTTTAGAATGAGGAGGCCTGTCACAGTGAGTATTCCTTTGTGGTAAAGATACCGTTGCCTTACTTGGGATAATGTGTGTGAGTGTCTGTTCTTGTGTGAGTGTGTGGCATGTACGTGTGTATTTGTGTATGTGGCATTTTTGTGTGTTCACATGTATGCAAGATTCATTGGGAGGAGAGAAACTCAACATCACTGTCAGGAACTCGAGGTCTAGTTGATTCAGGGGGTTCCTTCACAATAAGAACCAAATCGCACTTAATTTGGGAATCCTGTGGGCTAAGAACATATGCGAGGTGCATGCTAGTGCCCTGGGTCCAATCGTCTGGTCTTGTTTTCCCTTCTTAGTGGGCCTTTGCTTCCATCCACGTCTCCCATCCCTTAGGACTCTTCCCCCTTCCTCTCAATAGTTGGCTTTGCACCTGGCCCTTTTCTGGACCAGATCACAGCCGCAGGGACATTTCCCCGGTCCCCATCCTCACACCTCCCACTGTGACCTATGGCTACCAGCATTCCGTATTCCAGCCAGTCAGCAGAAGCCCTGGACCACCCCTGTGGAAGGCCCAGAAATCAAGCCACCAGCAACAGACTTTCCCATCCTCAAGGACTTATTATATGACAAGGTCAGAAGGAGTCAAGGACGACCCCATGGTGAGATGTATTGACCCAGGGCGGGGGCAGTAAATCTGAGCACATGGGAGAGGAGAGGGAAAGCTGACCCTCTAAGGAGGCTTTAGTTATAACTGAATTCTCTTCTGTCTCTGGGGAGGCCAGCCCCTGGGTGCAGAGAGAAGTCAGCCTGGGCTTGGAAAGGCAAAATGTGTTCAGATAATGAAGAATCCTGTAACACAGATGAGATATTTGGACTTTGAGGTTGACGGCAAGGGAGGGCCAGGGGAGGTCATTAGCAGGGTAGGGATAGGATTGCAATTGACAAATATCACTGGTGACGGCAGTGGGGGGAGGGTGGGTATGCCAGGAGTCCGGGCAGGTGGGTGGCATGAGCCAGGTGAGGGACAGGAAGCACCTAATTCAAAGAGTGAGAAGGGCTGGTGGGGAGAAGACAGCATACATGATCAACGCTTGGCAGCTGCTCAGGACTCGCGGCGAGGATCAGTGTGGGAGCCTGTGGAAGAAACAAGGGAGCCGAGGACGGTGTGTATGCTGACCACACCGAGGCCAAGATGCTGGTGAGAACAGAATGGAGACCAATAACCATTGGCCACTTAACCAGGTGGGTGTGCAGGTCCGGAAAGGACTTCCGTGCATGTTAACCTTGCCATGGCCCAAATGTGACCGTAGTGGTTGTACCCAACATTCTTTCGATCGTCCCCGGCTGTACTTGTTTTCTTCAAACACACCCAACAGAGCAGCTGCCGGAGCTCCTGCGGGCCCACATCTGGTGTGTGTCCATACCAACTTTGCATCCAAGAGATCTGTTCATCATGTCCTTCCTTTCGGTGCCCTGGCTGTTAGTGCTGGTGTTTATCACCTACCTGTGTTTTAAATACGTTTAAATTTTAGTTGTACCACATAAACACCACCCACCTACCTAGCGAGCTGGGTTCCTTTCTTTCCTTCTTCTTCTTCTTCTGCTGCTGGGTTCCTTTCTTTCCTTCTTCTTCTTCTTCTTCTTCTTCTTCTTCTTCTTCTTCTTCTTCTTCTTCTTCCTCTTCTAAATAGAAACATTTGAAGGAAGTTTTGTAACTGAATGATAGGAAACAACGGTGGTTAAATCACTGAGTTCAGGGCACACTGATCAAAGGCCTCCACCGCCCTTGTGGGAGATGCATTGCAGGACGCCACAGAGTCCAGGTTGTGTGGAGTTTGAGGTGCTCCCAGGAGGAGGGGCTCCAGCATCACCATTTTTATCTACTTCTCACAGGTGTCTGTCCAGGAAACTGAAGCGGGTTTCAACCTGCCAGCAAGAAAACGAGTACTTGATAGAATATGTTGAGTCACTGAAAGAATGAACTGAATCACAACTCGCTAAAGGGTTGTCACCAGCCTATCCCGGAAGCAGCATGTTTGTTGTCCCGGGCACCCGCCCGGGGCTCTTAGCTGCAATGACGTGGTAACGCAGTATGTCGATTGCAAGCATCTTTTCTCTAAGAAACGGGCAAAACCCTTAGTCTAGTGTTATTCAGGGAACAGAAGAAATATTTCTGCTTTAGTTCTGGCAGAATTCTCTTCTTTCTCTGCCTTGGTCTACACTACTTGACTACCACTTGCTTTACCTACCAGTCTCCATCCACACCTATCTTCTCCTGTCAGCGGTCATCAGACCCTGAGGGTAACGAATCGGCTGTTGTTTACTCTCTAAGCACAGTGTCTTCTTCAAACAGCCGCAGGTGATTTGCTCCTGCGATCGGGCTGGCGCTGTGGCCACCCGGCCACTCCCAGCAAACTGGGGATGGCCTCCCTTTCTCAGGGAAGCCTCCCACGGAGCTGGCCTCGAACTCTAGGCTAAAAGTGGCTCCTTTCCTTTCTACTGAATTGCTGTTTTGCACTCCTGGTTCGCTAAGCTTTTCCTTCTGAGTGAGGTTTTAAAGTCTTCCTAGATTTCACCAGGGAGTAAAATGCTTCCAGATCAGTACCTGTGGGAAACAGGTTTCTCGCCCAAGAGAAATCTTTGGCCCTGGGATGCTTTCTTTTTACTCAATGTCAACACCTAGCCTGTCCCTGACCCCACGATTGCCTTCCTGACAGCTGTAATTTGAGGTCTTACCAATCAAAACAGGCTCTTTGCCATTTCTCCCCACGCCCCTCCCCCCCATTTCAATAGATTAACTCATAACGAGCTGGTTTCTCAAAGGCATGTGTGCATGTTTGGTGTGTAGAGCAGCAGTGTGGACCCAGACCTGTGTCAGAAGTGAAGCTCGATTTTGACTCTGTGGGTTGGGAGAAGCACTGAGTTGGGATATTAAACTCCTCTGGGCCCTTACTTTCTCATCTTTCTAATTAAATAAGTTTTCCATTCTGTCCATATAGAAATGTTACCTAATAAGCATATGGATCCCTCAAAGATCCAGCATTAACCACTAGCTAAGGGAGAGACACCAGCTTCCATCACAGCTTCCTACTTCTTGGCTGAGCCCAGAGCCCCTCAGAGGCATAGTGTGTCTGCAAGGAGGAGAGACTCTTTCTGGAAAATCCTATAAGCCTCAGAACCCTCAAGTCACTCGAGGAAAGTGGAAGATGCTCTCAAGAGGAATGAACACTGGATTCAGGGCCACCTAGTGAATGGGGCTGGAGCCGTATTTAACTGGATTAAGAAAAGTAATAAATCACGACTTTTCACATTTGTCCTATTTCTCCCCTTATTTTAGAGCATTTTCTAGGAGTCAGATATTGTGTTAGACAATTTCCAGACCATTTGGTTTAAGCCTAAAAGCAGCCCAATTACTCAATTAGTTGTTCTGACACTATTCCCATCTTCATTTTCAGAACTGGGGTTGGGAGATTCTGAGTTCAGAGCCCATGCGGGAGAGATTTGTCACCAGACCAAGCTATCACCCATCAGCAAATCCCCTCAGAACAGCAGCATGTCAACTCATCCCAGAAATTAGAAAACCTTATTTTCTGAGTCCATTGAAAATAGGAAAGCAGTGATTGTGTTTTGAAATTGGCACTTCTGGGTGAATGAAGTGAAACCCAAAAAAGATGTTGAATTCAAAGCCACAGACAAGAGGGTGTTTACCCCTGGGTGCTCCTTGCATCCTCAGGTGCAGACAGGTTTGCAGATTTTTTTGGACATTCAACACACCTGATCAGTTACAGAACAATTATTTATTTTAAAAAAATAACATATTTGTAGGGAGTGAGCCAAGACACCTACAACCTTTTTTCACCTTGTATTTCTCCTGCCATCTTAGGCTGGAGCCAGACAAGCCTGCCCTATACAGAAACATACCATGGGCATGCGTGCGTGCGCACACACACACACACACACACACACACACACACCTAGAGCAGAACACAGCAGGAACAAGATGCTTCATGAAGATTCAGGCTTTACAATGTGCCAGCTCTTCAATAAGAAGTTATGATGAATCTTACTGATCCTGCCCTGTGTTGACACACATGTGAGGTCTGTAAATACCCATTTCAACACCAGTTGGCCACTAGACTTAGAGGTGAAAATCTTGATTTACAGATAGATACTGCGCTTCTGGCTTTCCTGTGTATCTATGCATCTGTCTTTCAAATGGCAAGTGCAGACCCAGAGCCCGTGAGAAGACACCCCACCCACTCAGCTGGATACAGGCTGAGGACTTCCTTAACTCCGCTGATGACGTGTTGGCTTCTCTGTTTCGAGTTACCAGAAAAAGCATCCCAGAACATTTTCTTGCTTGTAGCTCTGCCACCTATGAGGTGAACGGCCACATCGTGCTGTTTTGTGTGCATTAAATGATAATTGGAGGTCTGTTCACATGGCTGCTCCTGCTTCTCCTGAAGTCAAGATCTCTGAGTGAGGCTCTCCCGAGGACCTGCAGATCTTTTTGAGTCAACAGCATGGAGGGCCGGCATCTCTGACCAATCTTCCATCGAACAGGTGGAAAAGAGCAAGGGCTGTACCAGCAGGCTGGAAGTGGGGTCTGTGTGGTGACATGTGCATGCCTAGTCATTGTACAATGTCCTCAGCTTCTGAGATAGCTTAACTATTATCTCAACATACTGGATATTTGCTGATTGACCAATATGTTCATTTTCCAATAAGGCAGAAAGTTTTCTTTCATCAATTTGGGGAATCATAGATCAACTCAAATGTTAAAACAGCAGACTTTACAAAGGACATTTCACTTCTCTGCTCAGTTGGCCTAGAACAGTGTCTCAGAGATGGGTCCAAGTCAACACCCCGAAGTGGCAGAGCCCAGGTGGGACACGGCCTTCAGGCCCCTGAGTGCCTTATGGAGGACTGTGGAGAGGTAACACCATGCCTGTGCAGCCTTGTGCTCTGTCTAATGGTAGAAGATCACCATGGTCATAACCTGTCCTTGCTATAAACTAAACCCCAATTTTCCTGACTCACAACTCACCTCTGGGGGAGAGAGGTTCTAGATGTAAAATATTGCAGGAAAGGACAGGGAAAATGAACATGTGACTTAGCTACACAGTTCCAGAAAGTCAAGAAAGTGTTAACATGAAGAGAGAAAGGGGGGAAATCCTTTAATTTGCTTTAAGCTTGTGTCTTCTTTTCTCAAGAAATTATGGAGAGGATGGTGGTCTGACAGTTTCCCATGAAATACTAGAAAGGCTGGATAAGCATGCAATGCTGAAGGTCAGCAAAGAGGAAAGGGAGGGCACTCCTAATATTTTCCAGCCTCTGCATGCTGGGCCTGGATGTGTATCCTAGGGTGTGGTGGGCTGAGGTCCTAGAGTGTGCCCAACATGGTGGCATCCCAGCAACATATGCACTGACCACCCCAGATGATGCGAGAGCTTCAGTGTCAGGTCCTAAATACGCCCCTTACTGTAAGTAAGAACACTTACTGACCTGCACGTTGAGCAAGTTCTTTTACTGAAAATAATTGATGTTAACATGTGATTGTCAACTGCAAGTTGATACTGTTGTATTTCAGAAAATAAGCCAAAGAAAGCTCTTCCTTCCTGGCATCTTTGACCTAAAAGCAGATTCTCCTTTGTCTTATGGAGGCTTATTTTCTTCCTTTAGACTCTGCTTTACAAAAACCTTATTTCTTACAGTTGAGGAGAGGTAAAATGGACATACTATAGCATTCTCAGCTCCAGTTCAAGTGGAAATTGCCTTCTCCCATCTTCCTTCAAGATTCCATTCTGCACACCAAAAACAAAAGGAAGGGAAAAGAAAGGAATAGCCCGTGTATAATTTAGCAATTAGGACAATGATACAATGGTAGCTACCATTCATCCCCCAGACACCAGGAATGCTGCTAAGAGGTTCACATTTACCCTTTCACTTAGTTCTTACCATGAACCATGGCATAGCATTATCATCCCCAGTTCAGGGATCAGCAAGATTGAGAGACTGAGCAATTTCATGACTGGTTCAATATCACAGGGCGCAGCAACCACTTGAACCAGAATTTGAATTGAGTGCCTGAAGTCTAGTGTGTGGTCTGGCCTGCTGCAACAACCAAAGAGACTATACTGCACATTCTCAACCAATGCCTCTGGAATAATCACTGTTGACTTCAATTTCTGGGCTGTTAAATTATTTTCCTAGCTGTCTTGCACATAGTATGAAGCTAGTTCTTGGACCATGCACGATAAGAGAACAACATGCCAGGCAGCATAAATAAGATTAAAGAATTCAAATTGCAAGTTCATTTATTAAAATCCTTAAAACAAGATCAGGTTTTCCTACTCACTAAAAGGGAAATGGCAGAGGTAGAATTCCAAGCCACAGTGGAGCCATCGATACTTTCTGTGTATTGAAGTGGCGATAATGGACACAGTGCAATGTGTTTTTGTTTTGTGCTTGGCTTGAAAGACATGTATCTGGCTACTCTTTCTCCACTTGCATTTTTCAATCTTATTCTTACTCTGTCTGCTACTTGAAGTCAAGTTTCTATACATTTTAACCGTGTCTTCTGAGCCTAGCACAGTGTTTGAATGTTTTAGGGGCTCACCAAATGTGTAGGGAAGTGGGGAGCTGGGTAGGTAGAGAGACAGAGGCGGATTTACAGGCATCCATACACGCCTGGCCTCACCTTGGATGTGAGCTGGAGTAGGACTGAGTCACAACCCGACATCCTCCCAGCTCCTGGGTCTGTTCACTCCTGGTTCACCCTGTTACCTTTGTTTCCTTAAGCCAATCAGTCCCAGGATACTGAAGCCCCAAATGAAAAACAAGCACAAACGTAAACACAGACAGAAACAATGTGCCCTTTTCCTTTGCTCTATAAACTATGATTTCTAAAAGTATATTAATATTAAGAGGAAAGAATACATTTCTTTTATGATTTACATATAAGCAGGGAAACTTTAAAAATTTAAATTGCTTTAATTTATATCAATTAATCGATGACATTTATTCCTTGATTAATCTAGTTATCTGAACTATTTGATTCTCTGGCCAAATATTTGTATTCCTATTTGACCTAGCTAACACTTTCAGCCACTGGCTTCAAAAGAAAGTCTAAGCATTATTCAAGGAACCAATATTTGCTAGTGGGCTTAGAGCACCAGCAGAGGGAAAGCAGAGAGTAAGGAGAGAGGAAAGAGAGAGACAGGGAGGGGTTAATTGATTAAGTAGGAGGCGCTACCAGAATACAAACAAAGAGTGGAAGGAAAGGAGAAGAATGGAGGAGGTACAGTTCATTGACAGGATGGAAATCCAGAATCCTGCCATGAACTTAGTGGAGCTCCGGTTCTTCTGTGACTGCATCAGTGGATCGCCCTAGAAGCCGGCATTGTGTAATGAAATACATGACATATAGGGCATCCACAAAAGCACCCAAAGTGCATAAAGAGACCAGGTCTTCCCAGCTTCTATTCTGATCCACGTGTGGCCCAAGAATTTCGCCATGTGTTTTGCAGAGCTCTGTTGGGAGTGGAGTAGGGTATATTTTAAGCATATCTTCAATAGTACTAGAAAATATTGATTAAATGGAACACATTTCACAGAACACTTAGAAGAGGAATAATTTCCCCCAAAAGACCAACTTGTAGAAATAACAAGACCTAGAGGAGTGGGCTTTAATATTCAGTTTACAATAACTTCATGTCTCTGGGCCTCCTATCCTCGTGGTAGTCACAATATGTAGAAGCAAAGTGCATCAAAACCCACACGCAGATTATTCATTGTCAGCAAAAGTAAAGAAAAAAAAAACAAAAAAGAAAGCATTCCCCATTTAGATACGACCTGAACCATGATATCTGAAAAACACGAATCATGTTCTATAAGAGAATAGGAATAAATCCAAGACTTATTGCCCCGCAGGTAGGAGGGCATTAAGAACAATGCAATTGTGACTCCTTTGACCAAACTCTTTCTCGAGAGAAGGCACAGTGAGTTGATGGCGTCCACTGATCTTCATAAGGAAGTAGTAAACCTCTCTCTACCTTAATTCTATGAAACGTTCCATTTTGCAATGTTAAAAAGCTGAATGATCTGGTTAAAGATAGCCCTTAGAAAGATAAATGATGTCTGCACTGAAATGTAGGGTGTCCTTCATCTGAAGTGATCCGACCCCAGAGCATGAGACACATGCTCGCCAAGGGGGAAGTGGGGGTAGTTCCCCACGCCAGCTCTCCTGATCTCCATTATATCCATTCATTCATGAAAACCATGTGTTTGCAAGAAAACATGTCAAAATCA